AAAGTAAGAAGGTTTTATCTTTTCTATTTGCTAAGATATTGCTCATGTAATATATCAAACACAGTGGCACCCTGCCCACCTCTTTCCATTGGTCGAAACGTTCCCTTATAAATACACTTACTTCTATATATGACATGAATGACCAATGAAAAGCTCAGAATGTCCCCTAGTGGTTTTCTCAGCCATTTTAACTGGCTTGAAGGCCATTTTCTTTTGAAATAATATTTCATGGAGGTAGGGTGTGTCTTTAGTCTGCTCGAAATTTCATATATTTTTTTATACTAAAATAAATCTTAGTTACTTAGCTTGATAAATTATAGTTGAATTCTATGGTATTGATGTAATAATTTATGATTTTTTTAGTTATTCAAAAGTATACATAAAACCTAAAAAAATTATTTGTTTCATATCCTCCACGTGCAAAATTTTTAAAGGTCATAACTAGAAGAGATAATTGTTTTCTTTACTTCTTTATTTACTATTCTACATTTTAAGAAAAATAAGTTTAAGAACTTATTTGAAAATAGCAATAATCTATATACATATGTAATGTATAATAATTGAAATGTGACTTTATTTTACAAAATACTAGTCTACAAAAACACAACCAAGACAAGTTACTTTGTACAGGTTAAAGATCAGTTTATGTTATTGGATATGGTAACATGAGTGCATGTGTGCTGCATCATTTTTAACTTCTGTATTGTTAGCCAGGCATGGCCAAAAGGTCAATATAATAAATATATATAAATGTATAATGTTATGAGATTTAAGCTATTTAGTCTAAACATTTATATTTTCATGTTATAATTTGTGTTCACTCTAGAATGAAAAAGGCATAATTTATATTTATTTCCTAATTTTTTATGGTGGGTATGAGATCGGTCAAATCTACCAAACATATACAGAGATTCTTTACTGAAAATAGCAGATAAAATATAAAGTTTTTTCTTAAGAAACATTTTATAACTATCTGGACATTATAAATATTGTGCATACGAAATTTGAAAATTTATTGATGCATCAATTTATTTTTAATCTTAAAACATGCGAAAAGAAAAAAGGCATGAGAAAAACATTGCTTTACGAACCTTAAGACTTAATAAATAAAAAAATGATATTTTGCACATGAAAGCATTTTAATGTTTACTGATAATGTACCAAATTTCATTAACATTCGCTTACTAATTTAAAAGTTATAGCATGGAAAGTATAACAAGCACAAAATGGTTACGAGGTCGGTCCCAGGGACCAAACCTGTGCTGAAAGAGATAATCCAAAAATAATCATTCTGGTTATTTGAAGACTGTGTTTTTATCTTTTTAAACAAGATATCTAGAATATTGTTAAGTACTATTGAGACAGATTTAATAACTGTATTTAAAGAATTATTAACAAATCTGAATTTCGTAATATTTTTATGCAATTTTGGAATTGCATATTAAAATAGTCAATTCATACAAGAATAATCTCTATGGATATTCCATTTTTAATAGCCTTTTTCAAATTTGTAATAACATTATTTTTCTTTAAAGTAATTTTAGTAAAAATACTTGTAATATTAATTTCATTAAGTAAAATTTGTGCATATAATTTTTTTACACACAAATCCAAAATTACAACCAGCCTTATCAATCGGGGTAATAATAAATTGTTTTTAATTTATTTTATTTCTAAAGACATTAAAAGAAATATCTAATTTATATCGAGATAAGTTTAGAGTTCTTAATCAATTCTTTATGGAATTAATAAAATATAATTTCCATTCAAAAAAGAAACATGGCAGTTAATAGGATTGTTTATATACAAAAATGTAATTTGTAACTCAAAACAAGCTAATGAATGATATACAGAGGAATATATATATAAAGCAAGTGTTATACATTGGTCCCTCTTTTAGGATGATACAATCCTTTACACTTTGCAGTCAATTATTTGTAACATAGAGTTCCTTTAACCACAAGAGCTCTGGATTTCATATTTTGGTAGGCTAACTTGAAGGATAAGGTGAATGCTATTCAATCTGAACTAAATGATCACTTATTTTATCACTAGTGAGGGAAGTATGTTAAGTGTTAATTATTAAAATCATAGGATAAAATAGGAAGAGGAAAAGCAAAAACAAAATTACATTCTACACAGTTGTGTACATAAATTGAATAGTTCCTTTGGGTCTATTTCAAGATAACTTGTTGTATCACTTGACAACTTAGTGTCATCTTTTAATGTATGTAGAAACAACAAATCCAATATTACCTTTCCTGATTTTTAGGTTTACCATTTAAGAATGCACAATGTCAGGATTATTTTAAGTTCTCTTATTAATAAGGAATACCTGTTTACATCAGAAAACATGATCATAAACATTTAATTTTACCATTGTAAAACTTTTAATCCAAGCTTAAAATTGTACTTTCATTAAACAAGAGCTATTGTTTAAAAAATATTTAATTTTGTTTTATCTTACATTTTTATAATAAAAATGTACATCCATGAGAACCACCTGAACAGGAAAACAGAAATTACATAGTTTTAACTATTTTTAAAAAAATATTCCTGATATACAATCTTATTTTACAATAAAAGTGTTTCCTACAAAATCCAATTTGAGAATCATGCAGTTATTTTTCTTACTTCTTTCACACTTGCATTCAAAATAAATACACTCTTAAAACCCCTCCTTTTTTTAAAGTAAAAAAAAATGTTTGCGCTTAATTAATGGCAAGGTATTTTTTCATTGTTTCTTCCTGCTTGACTAGATTCTCCTGGTCTAACACCTCTTGGGTTGGATGCCAGATTTTGGCTATTAATCTCTCCAGATTTACTGAATATACTGAATGGGAATTGATACAGCTTTTATGAACCTGTAATGACAAACTAATGTAATGTGGCATAGCTTAAACCAAGGAAATACACAACAAATGTTAACCATTTAAAAATATAAAATAATAATTCCTCTATAAGTTGTTTAAATCTACGTAATGTTAACTAGAAAAAATTAGTCAAAACCTTATAACCGAGGCACTTTTGAAAGGTGAACCTTTCTTCATCAGTTTGTTCCTGATTAAGAAAGGTCCATCTTTCAAATATGCTTGGGCTATAGGGTCTTTTGTAATTACATTTTTCCTAACATCACTCTGGGATAATATTTCTATAATGTTACACAAAAGGTTTTTTCAAGGAAGCAGCTTTTCAAAAGTAACCAAGCTCAAACTGATGAAACTTTTCTGAACTCTTAAAATTGTTTAATTAGGTTAAAAAACTTCCTTAAAAGACATTACAGGCAAAATGTCAGAACTAGAAAAATATATAATCTTGGAGTTAGTTGAATAATATTTTTTTCTTTTAAAATGTCTCCTAAAAGAAAATTATTGCAGATGAAAAGTCAAAAACATCCAACTTTGCTTGCACCATATTATATGTTTGATATAAAATATGGATGTAATTATTATAGGCTCATTTCTTTAGACTAACACATAACAAAGTTTGGAATTAATTCTTTGGCTGTTTTGAATATGTCTTACATATACTTTAATTTCAGAAACCTTATTAATTTTAAAATAATAAATAAACTCTTAGCAATCTGAATAATAAAAGCTGGGATACAATGATAATCAGATGATTAAAAATGTAACTATAAATCTTAACACTTAATTCAGATCAATTCTGTATTTTCAGCAAACCAGTTGAATTTCCTTATAGCGGCTATAGAAATCCAAGTAGTTAATTTCATTTTGATTTATTCTAGAGCAGCAACATGTGGGAGATACACCTATTGTAAGCTGCAATGGACAAATTAAGAAGAATGTGGAAAAAAAATATTTGCAGTTAACTTCATTTTCATTCCCTACCTTGCTAATGTATTATGATCTAAGCATGGCTACACAAAGACTATGTACCTGCAATGCTTCCAACAGGTCAAGAGGACAAACAGGTGGTAAAAGTGGTGGATGGAAAGAACCACATGCTGTCTCCAGGACTGCTTCTACTTCTGCACAATCAAAAGTAGGCTTTATACTGGGAAGGTGGTCCCCATTATTGGAAACACATGTGGCATAGCTTAAACCAAGGAAATACACAACAAATGTTAACCATTTGAAAATATCAAATAATAATTCCTCTATAAATGTAACTTGAAAAAAGTTTAAATACTAACAATCTTTTGTCTTAAATATAGCAATAATAAATTTTGTCAAGACTAAAGATAAACAAACAAATGTAAATATTTAAAATACTTGTTAATGAAATCTCCAGTATAAATGTGGTAGCATAAAATTCACATTAACCATTCAACATGAAGTGAAAGTTCTTAAAATTGTAATAATAAAGTAATTTTTAAATGTTTATGTAAATTTACACACACTGCAAGGCCCTTATAGCTTCAAATGAACTTTCGACCTTACCTGTTACTTCCACTATCCAATGTTCTGTAGGAATTCCTTAAATATGGATTAATTGCTGCCACACCCATGGCATAGCGAAACCGTCCTTCTCTTAATCTGTAGGTTGACCTTCTTCTAAACACACACAGTAGTATCCCTTTCAGTTGTTGCTGAAAAGTGTAGGTTAAAAACAGACCACATATTATTCCTAATATTTACAGACTCATAAGTCATGTTTACTAGTCCTCAAATAAAATCTAAATAATGACAATTTTGTAACAAGATATTTGATATGCTCATAGAAAACTACATATTCTTACTTATGCAAAAAAGAAAACATATGATGAATTGATATAATGGGGACCACTTCTTCCTTTCTTTCAACAGCTTGATAGTTATTAAAATGAAATAAATTACATCTATAGGATTTTAATTTTCATCTATTCCAGCATCGGCTTCAGCCAGCCAACTCGGTAAACTACACACCACAAGCTGTTGCAAAAGACCCACAAGATGACAGTCGATTATCCTTTTGTTCTCGAGACTACACACTTCCAGAGGTGTCCATGGTTCATGGCCGAATGTTTGTAACTGCGTGGGATATTGGGCTGGATGGAGTTGAAGATGGTGCTGTGAAAATGATGATGCTAGCTGTCCGAGTAAGTACTTTATTTCATGATTATAATATTATATAAACTTATTGTGTCTTGCCTATTATTGAAAATATTTACAATTTCTGCTGCTTTTTTTTATTAAAGAAAAAAGTCATACCAAACTGGATGAGTACCTTCTGTGATTTACTCACAAAGTTTATTTGTATTATTCAATCAGATTTAAAATTTATGATTATGACCGAAACAACATCTTTAAAGATATTCTACCAAAAAACTAAAGGTATGTACTTGATATTCACTTAGGAAGTTCTAAAGGTTATGCAAATAAAATATGAAAATTATAAGATGAAGAAAAGTATTTGTTTAGTTAGACCAAAAATCACTTTGCAGTTGAGCTATTTTAACAGTTTGGGTGCAAGTAATTTGTTGAATAAATGTCCTTCCCTAGTCAAGCGGATGGTGAACATGTCCACCCGTGCTTGAAGGGTTAATAAGTTGTTTATATTTTTTAACTTTGTCCAGTGAAGTTGCATACAAATCTTACCATTGGATGATAGCAAATCCAGAAATTTGGATTATGTCATTCTTTAGACATAATAAAAAGAATTTGTTGTCATAACTGTTTATTTCTAAAGAGGCAGTTTTATTGCAATTTAAAAGAATAGCATTTTTAATTTGTGATAAGCTTTTATTTGCCTAACAAATAAGTTTTTGGGTCTTTTCCTTTTCACATATAGTTAATATTTAATGTTTACTTTCTTACCCTTTACCACTTATTATTCATCTCAACACAAGTCTCGAGGCATATTACAGTGTCTCTAACAGACATGCACAACCCTTCAGCAAAATCCTGAGCCTTGAAAACTGATGCAAAGGATGATGTATATTTAAAAAATGTTTAAACCTTTCAACTGTGCAATTTAAAATAAAATTTATACCTAATTAACTAAAATGTATAAGAATGACCTAAATACAATTTAACCATAAGTGCTATCTATCTATAGTCAATCAAGCTGCCAACAATACTACAGTCAGTTACATGTACTCTGTGATAACAACTGCACACCAATTTCAAAATAACCATTGTTAGATTATAGTGTAAAATGAGTTCTTTCTAATACCTATACACATGTTTATGTCACATCTACATGTAGGCTATACAGCTCAAACAAATCTGTTGAAAGTGGGCATAGCAATTGTCATGGGTTGAAAAAATGTATTACTTGTTTAAATTGCATTCATTTAGAGAACCTTTGAAATATAAGAGTCAAAAGGTTATGTAAGCATTTTATAGTATTTATGTACATCTACTCAATTGCCATTGTATTATTGAAGATACACAGTGGAGAAGTAGAGAACTTTCCTAGCTCGTTGGTCACATGACAGTACATCTGAAGTTTTAAGTAGTTTTTAAAGGTTTCTTTTGAAATAAAGAACTTAAACTTAGAAAACATAAAACTCCAAATCATAACATACATTATAATGTTAATTTCACTCACATACATTGATAGTAAAGGTGTTTAATTAAATTGTGACTTGCACAGAAAAGGGTGTAAAGGGGTACCTGTTATGAAAGGGTTTGATGCATAATATAATATGTCAACTACTCTTATCATTCAGTTTCCAGTTGTAGCAAACATATTTTCTTACACATGCTTTAAAATCTTAATTTTGATGCTTTAGTTTCTACTACTTACTTGAGAATTAAGTTATTCTGAGCTTCATGTCTATTCAGGCCTTTCATGGTATGTAATATTAAAAGAAAACCAGCCATATTAAGTGTCAGTCTAGTGTCAAAGTTTACAGAAAGGTTGCATAACATTATAAATATGTGGAGGAGGATACTTTAACTTATTGGAGTGGAATTTTTTATATGTTTCAAGCACATTTTGAGGTATGATTTAAGGTAAATAAAAAGCAATCATATCTAATTGGGCAGCCACAAGGCCACCATACTTTACATTATGAGTTGTAGAATCTGAAAAAAAGGCACACAGAGGAAGCTGAGACCAATTCTGAGAGCAAATTCAACCCATAAAAAAAAAGACCTTAGGCTCTAATGACCACTGGGATGTGGGAACCTTAAAATATTGTCTGCACACATACTTGTGTCCAAGTGATTTACCACATTTGGTACATGGCAATCACAGTTCTTAAGATGAGCTTAATTGAAGAAAACCAAGAAAACATAACAATGAAATTTTTTTTGTCTCACCTCAAATGTTGCCCTGACTGGTCGAATTTTTTTCTTTAGCTTTCCTTTCTTTTGTTTATCTTTGTTTTGGACCTGAGCATTTCCAGATGAATCTTTGACTGAAAAAAAAGCTCACATCGTTTCATGATGTAATAATCAATAATAATACTTCATAATGAATTGGAAGCTAAACATTCTTAAAAACAACAAATAGGTCTAGTTGCGATAAAAAATGTAATACACAATAGTATCACGTTGCTAAATGACTTGTAAACAAATAAAAACTGTGTATAAGTTAAATATTTTTCACTTGAATACTTTAAAAGAGTAAATGTCATTTCAATTAACTAGTTGTAATCCTAACAGTCTTAATACTAGTCTCACCAATTAAATACTAAACTGGAAAATATGCAAGGGCCTGTTATCCAATTCTAACCTTGCACAGAGGATTGGGTATGTTATATTGAAATTATTTTAACTGTTCCACCACAAACGTTTTCTGTAATCAGGAAACAAAAACTGCTTACTTGCATAATGTGTGTGTGTGCAAAATCCTTTTACAGGGTTAAGTACAATATACCAAAATGATTTTAAATGTGAAAATAAGGCAAGTAACACAAGATAACCACAACCAATATAGTCACAGTGGAACAGAATATATCAGAGCTCCATTTTAATAATGCTTGCTATAGGTAGTGAGATGCTAACAAAAACTGATCACTTTTAGGAAAGGTATGTAACAGCCCTTTCCAACACAAAACATTCATACACTCAGATCATAAAGATGTGTTCAAATTGGGGATTGAGAGATTCAAGATGGAGATATCCCTTTTGCATAATGGCATTGAAAAAGATAGGTATATGAACCATCCAGAAGTTAACATTTTATAACAGTGAAAATGGATTTATCTTTCCTGATTCAATGCTGCTCTTTATATGTGAACTTTTTTCAGCTTACAACTAGCCTTGAGGCTCCCATTTAAACTCACGTTTCCACATGATATTGTTGCATGCAACACCCTTCCACTAACAGGAGTGCAATGTAGCCTCCAAGCTCTATACTGATTGTTCAATCATCACTTCAAGATTAGGCAATAAAATAATATGCCCTAGAAGTGAATAAGTATCTATCAGAAATACATTTTCAGTATTGGAAATTGTTAACTTCTGATATGATACGTAACCTCCTCTCACATATAACTAGAATCACACAGTGAAGTGGTGTAGGGACAGGTGCAAAATTTTACTTAGATGAGGCCTCTTCAGAAAGTGCCAGAAGGGGACCAATGGAGTGCAACATCCTATACTTTAGATAAGTATAGTAGCACACATGTGAGAAACTGTACCTTGTCTGCACTCGTTGCCTGGGCAGTATGGAAAGAGAGTTTCATAATTACAGGCAGAAGATACAAATGCAATTCAACACCTACAACAGGCTTTTGGAAATGCCACATATGTTGTATGGCTAGGGCATATTAGATCATACATGGTGGGTCAACTCCAATTCAAAACCAGGCAGCACCATGAATGCAGCTTCTGAGCCATGGTAGGAGGAGTATTTCACTTCAAGTGCAGTGAGACAAAATGGGAATGTAACATCCAAACTGCAACTAAGTGAGGACTTATGTTTGCTGTTCCTGTGCCAATCCAACACCAGACCATCATGGAACCCAACATCTGGGTTGCTGTAGGATGAGGGAAGCCAGTCAGAGGGGTGAACTGTACTACACAGACAGAACACCACCATCCTATTCTCTACTGAGCAGAATCAGTCAAACTAAGGAGGCAGCTTCTATAGTCCAACACCCCAGTGGCTAGTAACTGGTAAGTAGCAAAGACTCCTATGCTCAACTAGGAGAAGATGAGAGGTGAAAGCACATTGAAGAAGCTGGAGGAGCACACCACTGTAAGACAATGCAACAGGTGACCACAAAAACCCTATTTTGAGAAGCAGGCTGGCAGTAGGTGTTAAACTAGGTATGGAGGATGAGGAAGAATCCCCAGCCTTCTTTACTCCCGAAAGCCCATGAGTGGGCTTGGTCTATACCAGACCCTGCTTAAGACATTGAGCAGGTATAGAGGATGAGCAGGAATCCTCTGCTTGCTTTACTCCTGAAAGCCTATGAGTGGGCTTGGTCTAGATCAGGTCTTGCTTAAGACATTGAGCACCACGAGTGATCTTGTGGAATACCCTAGCTCATAACTGAGCAATATATCAGGCCAGGACAGCCTTACACTGTGAGGACTTTGTTTAAGTATAACCTGGCAGACAACACTTGCCACTGAGTAAGATCCTGTAAGGTATGAGAATAAAACAAAATGTTACGCAGTCAGAGACAGTACGAGGTGTTGAGAATAATGAATGGAGGCAGTCTATAGTTTGATGAAGGAAAAACAGCCAAATGATTAAGATAGTGTGCAAAAAAGGTGGGAGGTGTTGTCTACATGCCAGTCTAAACAATCTCTTTCAACAGATGATGGAAGTGAGCAGTTAAAAGAGTGAGTAAGGTGACAAATTTGATGTGACGACACCTGGAAACACTGATATACATCCTCATCCAATGAAGAATATGCCAAACGGATGAGCTGATAGAGCCATCCAATGAGGCTAAGGGGAGAAAGATCATGATTAAACCAAGGATTCCAAAGAATGAAGCGAAGGGATTGGGAACCACGAAATAAAGAAGAGCAGGGCAAATAACAACAGACCATATGGGCAGGACACAGGAGGTGATCAGGATCCATATGAGCTAGAGCTGATGGGTGTGAAACAGTAGACCAGAAGAGGGGCAGTTTGGTGTTGCCATAAGTGATAAAGGCATAAATGTGATGGGGGGGAGAACAGCCACTGAAAAACAAAAGGACTGTGGGACCATTACATGGGAAGAATCTTATCTGGCCTTGAGAGATTATTAGTGACAAAATTCAGGGCATCAAGAACATTACAGGCCACAAAGCAGACATGTAGTGAAAGGATCCAGAAGAGGATGTCAAGGGTTCAGAAACAGAAAAATAAGACCAAGTGCCCCCAGGCAATTGATCAGGGTACCACAGTGGAGTTGCCTGTATGAATCATTACCAAATGGCCTCTTACCACTGGAAGGAAATAATCCAGAGTCAGAAGAACTACTATGAAGGGTCAATTTCTCCAGATTCCATTGACTTGGAATCTTGTAGGAGTCGAGACAAGCACATACCCTGTCAGGGAAGCATCTGTAAAAAAAATGAAAATCCAGAAGAGAGAAAAAGAAAAACACTCTCTATGGTATTGGTTCTGTTGAATCACCAGGTGAAATCGTGTATGAAAGGAGGAAGATGAATGAGGGAGGACTAGGGATCCCAAGAGAGGTTCCATTGATCATGCAAAGTCCACTGAAAAAGGGGCATGTGAGCACATCCCAAGGGAATAAGATATTCCATGGAAACCCAAGTCCCCAAAAAAAGAGAGAACATCCCATGCAGAAAGAGAAGGAGAAAATAGAAGTGTGTGTAAACCAAACTCTCCATGACCTGCAAATGAAGCAGAAAAAAGCTGAGGCCTGCTAACATGGAAATTAAAGAACAAACACACTCAAGTCAACCAGATAATGAGTGGATGTGAGGGGAGACTTTTCCAGCTTGACTAACTAACCAAGAAAAACCACCACCCAAAGAAGATGATTATGGTAGTAGGAGGCCTGTTGGGATAGAGTTAAAAGTCAGTCATCTATATAATTGTGAAATTGCAATTCCAAGCTTTGAATGTGACAAGTGAAGGCCCGCAATTATGAGACAAAAGACGTATGGGGCTGATGCCAGGCCAAAGTGGAGAGTGTGGAACTGACAAGCCCAATTTTGAAAGTCTCGATGCTGGGGAGATGGGAATATGATGATACACAAAGATATCGACCTTGGTCATCCAAAGCCCCTAAGCAGGAGACCACCACCAAAGGGTGAGAAAACTCTCCATGGTAAACCAAGGAAAGTCAAAAACTGATTGAGACATGAAAGATCTATGATGAGACCCTGGTCCCCAGTGTTCTTGGAAATTACAAATAGATGGGAATAAGTTCCTGCAAGAGGATGAGAAACCTGTTCAATAGCATCCTTAGTTAACAGGTCTGACACTGTCTCTGAGAGATGCTGCAAGATACAGGATCCCTTCAAGAAAGGAAATGAACAGGAAAATAAATCAAGGGAGGAGGAAAGGAGTGCTTTGGAAAGAAGTTGAATGGAGGAAATACAACACAACAGGGTAGTGAGGGCAAGACAGTAAGATGAAGGCATAAAAATTGGGCACGAGAAAGTCGACCAGAAGACAGAGGATATGAACCCCAAGCCTGAAAAAGAGACTCCAGAGTCTGAAAGTCCAAGAAAGAGAGTTCAGCCCAATGAGAAGAAGGAATCATACAAAACAGGAGAGAGAGAGAGGAGGCAACAAACCTGATCAAAAATTTCCAGAAAAGACGAAAAAGGTCTAAAAAGATCTAAGACAGCATTAGTAGAAGAGTTGGCAAAGGTAGGTGGTGGGAATATACTGTCAAAATCTTCATCATCACAAACAGGATTCATGAGAGGAGGTACATCTGTATGGGCAGTTGTGTACTTTTGACATAACAGCCTTACAACAGAACCTTTTACAATGGAACCTACACTGCGAGGCTATTGTCAACATTCACTGTTGTCAGACAGAGCATACTGAACATGGCAATGTGGAGTGTAAAGATGTGGTGATGTTCCAAAATAGTTTTAGTATAACATACTCAACCTATGTACATATTAAAAAGTACCTTTTTCCTCTAATCATCTCATAGAAATTACTTCTGTTACCGCCATTACATTCTGTTTAATTCTTATTATTCATAGGTACGATAATGTATCAGAATGATATTTTCTATAGTTCGTTTTTTATACAAGATTTAAAAAATGTGAATAAGACATACTGATCTTATGCAAGCAAAAAAGTTTTGTGTGAAGTTTCAAATTCAAAATGTAAATATATCTGCCTCATTTAAAAATACAACAAACAATCACATGGAAATACAAAAAAAAAAAAGCCTCTTGCACTTCTTGAAGATCTTAGCAAAAAGGTTAAAATACTTATAGCTGGTTCTGCTCTAGATATATCTTCAATGTATACAACTACAGTTAAGAAGATGAGGTTTTATACAGAGGTATTACCTAAAACAAACAGGCTACGAATATTGTAGTTCACCATCAGTATTCAATTAAAAAATGTTTTCACTCCTAATCACAAAGTAATAGATAATCTATGTCATTATTATAGCATTATCAAAAGGCAACATACTGTTTAAATGAGATTGAAAAATAATGGCTAGTAATAAATATCACCATAATCCATTGCTTGTGATAAGTTATTAAAACAAAACTTACCATGTGTGGACACTAAGCTTTGACATTTGTTTAACATGGCTAGCAAGAATTCATTGTGTAAATGTACTAGAAATAAAAAAAAAAGAATACATCAAGATATATATCATAAAGTAACAGTACAGCTAAAACTAACAATGGATAAAAACTAAACTATTTTAAGTTATTGTTCAAGAATAACTGTTTTACTTATAATGTGAATGAAGATAAGCTTCCATACATCTGCAGAGACCACCATCACGCTACTTGAAAGATGTCATACATTCAAGGAAACACTTGCAATAATATTGTAGAGGATTTAGTATTAAGATATGTTTATTATACTGCTTCTCTTTATTATTTAAAGGTTTTTTTACTCTTTCAAGTATTTGAGATATGAAAGCAATAAATCACAAATATGATAACTGTATGAAAAAATACGCTAGACATCATGCTGACTCACTGAACGAGATTTCATGAGCCACTGTTGAACTTTTATGCCTTCTACAGTATCATCCTTTACCTAAGACAGCAGAACGTAAAAAAGTTTTATAAAGTAAAATGTACAAGAGAAGGGTTTAAATTAAAGCAGACAGATAATCTATAATTTAGTTTCTACATGTATTTTTATAGCATTTTCTTCTGATTCGCAATAACTACAACATTGGCTATGAAGAAAGACTTGAAAGATCAAAACCAAATAAAGCAGAACAAGAAATTTCCTTCAAGAAACAAGAAATCCCCTGTCTCAAACAATACCTCTAGGAACTGACAAGATTATTAAACAGGTAACTTATTCTCAAATCCAAGCTCTGGCAACCATCATATACAAGCATACAAATAGAACAGATTCCATCCAGCATTGAGTGAAGAAAATAGACAAAGATTAATAACACTGCTAGTTCATATAACTTACCAAACAGCATTATTCTGTTCTATTACTTGTCTACACCTGAACTGTCTGATTAGACAGGAAGGTAGATACCAATCAACATCACTTGGTTTAAAGAGTGTTGGTTCCCACTCTACAGCATTAGGATCTTATAACTTACGTCCAGGCTCACCAAGACACCCAAGATACTTCCCTAGAGCCAACTACCAAGCACTATAGAATGTTTAAGCAAACACTAACCATCCATCCAATCTCTGATGTATAGAGGCAGCAACATTACAAACGCTATTCAAGGGTAGGCCCACATATTTTTTCTAGGAGGCTCATGATGGCTCAGTGGCTATACACATGTCTGCATTTGAAACATCTAACTAGTCAAGAAGAAGAACATCAATATGAGTCTTTTAATTTAAGGAGTGCTGGTCCTCACAACTGACCCTACAGCAGTGTCCCCCTAACTCAGCAAAGTTTCCATTGCACACACATACCCCTTCACATAATTTTCACCAGTGATAACAGCAAAATCAAAATTTTCGTTACCTGTTTTAATAACTCTTTTAAATGAAAAAATGCTTGCAAGGAGTGAGTAAATACATGAGCAAAATAGCTTTGTGAGCAAAGTGATAGTTTTGTTAGGTTATCATTATCTCCAACTCTTCTGTTTCTTTCATCATAATTTTTGGGTCTCCCATCAAAAGGCCAAGAGGGGCATGCACCACAGTATTAGGCTCTTACATCAAATGTCTCCATATGAATTAATCAGTGAAACTTTCTAAAGATTATTAGCAAGTACAAACGACCTAGAGGCTATTCTATAACTCGTTCACACGTGGATTGTAGTAGTAGCAAAAGCAAGCTCTGTCAGTTTATTCATAGTCTAATTGAAGTTTATTAGGTACTAAGAATTTGAAAAGTTGGATTTTTTAATTATATTGCTTGATTTCAACTTTCAAGAACTTAGTTTTCTTTGCACATTTCAAGAATACTTGCTCATAATTCATTACTCAAACTCTAAAATAATTTTAAAAAATAACAATTCAAATTACTTGTGTCAGAGGCCAAAAGTTTTCTAGCATCAGCATCAAAACTTTCCTTGGTGGTCTGAAAGTACATAAAAAAGTGTTCAACATGTTATTACATACTTAAAACATACACATTTGTATTTCTTTGAATTCTACCCTATGATGGAAACAGAAATGAAAGAAAATACGATGTTTTAAGTAAGTGTGGGTTGCTGTTTAGCCAAGATTCAATACCATGTAGATAAATATTACAGGATAACTGCTCTATTTTCAAGATTATTAATTAATTCATAGTTTGAATCATCTCAAGTGAAAAAAATGAATTTCTATGTATTTATCCAAATTTCTGAAAAAATTACTTATATATATATATCTTTGTTAAACATATATATATATATTATGCAGTATTTCTGAGATACAAGCCAAAAATACTCCTTAGAAATGACCAGAGTGTGAGTTACAATCTGTGATACATTTCTTAAATTACTTGTACAATTGTAAAAGCAGCTGAAAGTGTTCAACACATACTGAAACTTAGGTGTCTGATTCATGTTTTATGACCTTGCTTCTGACCACTTTAACATTCCATAAGTCCTCAATATTGCATATTCAATGAACTCACCTTTTGCCTAAACCACAACTTCATGCTGTTCAAGTACCTACAGATAATAAAAATTTATTCTCAGTTAAAACATATTGTATTTTAACATAAAATAACTTACTTGATGAAGAGCACAAACATCACATACTGGTTTTTCATTTACAAACATTTAATTCTTATGTTATTATTTAAAATAATTTGAGAATGCATAACAGGTACTACTATAACCATGAAATTTATGTTTGCTACAACTTGTACAACAAATTCTTAAGATTATATATTTTCCACCATCAAGATCAGTGCAACTTTTGACAATATTCCTAATTACTATGATATAACCACTTAATATCTAAATATTTCCATGCTAGAATTAGTTTTTGTGAAGCTTCATGCAAGTTTTTATTTTAACTGCTAATCACGTTATGACTCATAATATATGACAAAAAAATACAAAATATTTTTTGCAACTCTTTTTAAAAATATTTAAGTTTAAATATGTAGCTTGCATTTTGAGTATTTTTTTAATAGGTTTTAATTTCCCAAGAAACATTTTGCCCAAAAATTAACATTCTCTTTACCTGAAAAGGTATTTCCCATAGATACTCATCTCTACACACTGAATAGCTTGATCCCTCATGCATCTACCTGTAAGATTTGCTTGTCACTAGCCTCGAGCTAACTCACACCTAAAAATCATGTAGTTCAATGTGAACTGCACTAGTTATGATAATATCATTATACAATATCCCCCAACAATAGGAGGGCAACACTACATCCTTTTACAGTAACATCCTTTAAGAACTTGCTCTTGAAATAACATAATTCTTAGATGTGGGAAGGTATGTGGAGGTGAATATCTATCAGAAATATATTTTCAGGTAAGGAAAATGTTAATGCCTGAAGGGAAAGACATTGGAGTGTGACAACCATTGTTAAGCATCTCCTCTTGACAAGTGTATACCTTTCTCCCAAAAAAAGGAGGTAGAAAGACAAAAGGGCATCATATATTGTAATGATGGATGGAAATTTTTGCATGACAAACAAACACCCACACACAACTGGACAGCAAGCCAAGAAGTGTATTATGATTAGGGCGTGATCAGACCGTACTGCATGTCTCACCTCGACTCAACTGGACAGACAGAAATGGGGCTGATGAAAACATCATGCTGCAGGAGGAGGGCACACTAGCTGTTTGAGGTGACTTGCACTACACAGACAATGCCAACAACACCCTACTTCCCACCATAATATACCAAACACAATCAGTCATGAACTCTCCAAGGTCAACCACTACAGTGGTTAGGAACTGGTAAGTGGTAAAGGTTTCCCATACTCCACTTGAAGAAAATAGGGGAAATTCAAATTGTGGATATACAGAGAAGTGCCTGGAACTGCATCATATACCTGCCAGTAAGGTCTTTTACTGGAGACAGTGCAACAGGTAACTGTAAAACCCTATTTTGAAAAGCTGGCTATCTCATGCCAAAGAAATGGATGGTCACTTCCTTGGTGCTGGATTTTTTCCATGGTAGTCCATAGAGTCATACAGTTTGGATTGGGCAATTAAGTAAGTTTAATAAAATGAGGATATGTCTAGTGGTCTTGTGGAACACCCCATCTTGACAATGGGCACTGGTAAAACCAGGGCAGATGAGCTGAGTGCTTTCCATTACCCCTGGCTGTATGCAAATTTTGGGAATAATCATACCCTGGGAGGCAATACCAGCAACCTGGCAGGATTCTATAAGAGGGAGGAGGTTGATAAAAAGAAATGTACATAATTTCCTCAAAAACAGTATGTAGATTGAAGACTAGTAAATGGAGAGAGTTGAAATGATGAAGATACTGAGAAACAAATGTTTGCAGATCTGTCCAGATGTTAGCCAGAACAATCTCGTTCAAGAGTCAGTGAAAATGAGACAGGTGATGAAGTTGATGCAACAAAATATGAAGAAGCCTGTGAGCATCAATATCCAGGAAAGAATATATCAACTGGAGAAGTTGGTGGACCCATTCAATAAGAGGAGGCAATAGGTCCCCCGGATAAAGAAGGGTCCCAAGGCAGAAACAAATGATGTCAGTAACCCTAAAACAGATATGTTTGTATCAAAAACCTTGTACAGCCCAAACTAGACACAGAAAATGATTCGGATCTGAGCATAGAGGTGAGAGGTAAAAGGGAGCAAGACATGACAGAAAAAACGACTACTTTTCTGAGCCCCAAAGTGTTGAGAACAAAAGCCCACTCTGGGGAGAAGAGTAAATAAGTATGATGAAAGAGAGTGCAGGAAGCATCAATGGTATATATATATTCAAATGATGGCACCACAGGTGAGAGGAAGGGAGTTTGTCTTCAGATAAAAATGGTATAAAGAACAGGATGCCAACAGAACAAACAAAGCATGTGTGAGAGTGTATAAAACCAAATTAAGATCCCAGTCAGGCATGTAATTTGGTTGAGAAGGCTGGTAAAGAAGGAATGAGCAGAATAAAGTGAAGATGACATGAAGAAAATACCTCGTGGTAACAGGAAAAGCAAAAGGTAGTTGACAAAACCATACGATAACCAGCTATGCTGAAGACAGACAATCCATGGTCAACAACTATGTAAAAAATTGGGCAAAGGGCCACAGCAGGACAGCCTGGTGAAAGTGACAGATGGATCAATGTCAAAAATTTTGCCACTTCCACTGATAGATGGACAAAGTTGAAGGATGATGAAAATGGGATAAGAAGAGGGATGCACATTTGGAGAGACCAGTCCTGCTGGTGATGGACCAGACAACTCCCACATGTGAAGATGAAGGGACAACATCCCTGGGTAAAAAAGAGACATGTGAGGTTGTACCAAGAGAGAGGGGGAATGGGGCAGAGGAAGAGGAAGCCTGGACCCAAACTAATGAAGTAGAGGAAACCAGGGTTATGCAGGCTAAAGAGATGCCACCAACAGAACTTCACCAGGAGTGTTGTACATCAAGGTGAGGATATGAGAGAGGAGACAAAGAGGAAAATAGGCATATAGAAAAAGATGAGACCAATCCCGAGAAAGATTCCACTGAAGGAGGCACATGTGTACTTAGCATAAAGGAATGAGTAGCTTTTGTGAAACCAGAGTCCTCAAAAGTGAAAGGGTGTAACTGACAAGTACAAATCTTGGTGACAAGACATTCCATTGCTTACAGGCAAAGACGTGAAGGCTGAACCTGACTAAAATGAGAGTTGAAGAACACACCCAAATGTACCAAATATTGAGTAGGCAAGAGAAAAGACTTGGAATGCTTGACTAGCCAGCCCAACTAAGGATTTCTTGCAAAAGAATGGAGATGTGAGAGAATGAGTCAATCTTCCATGTAATAATGGAACCAATCTGTGAATATGTGAGGCGAATAACCCATGACTGAATTAAAGACATAATGAACAGCCACAATACCAAAGGGAAGGGCACAGAACTGGAATACTTGATTCCAATGGATGAAATGTAGAAAATGTCTAGAGAATAAGGCAAGCGGAATGTGCAAAAAAAAAGCATCCAACATGTCAGCCTTGGTCATCCACAGACCAAGTAAAGAGGACCATTGGAGAAAAAATGTAAGGGTCAATACTCTCAAGATGGTGCTCTTGGCCAAGAGATCCAAGACTGCATCCTTGAGACACTGAAGATAAATGGGATCAGAGGGAGGAGGAAAGAAGAGAGAGAAGAAAGAAAAGAGAATGAAGAGAAAGATCATGGGTGAGAACTTTAAAAACCCATCTGTTGGCCAAAAATGAAGACTAAAGGCTGGTAAAGCAAGACAGGTAGGTGCCCACTAGGCCAAACCCAACAACATAATTACTGACAAGAAAGTGATGACCTTGATGTTGTGGACTGGAAGATGGGAACAACAAACAGCAAAAGAACTGAGTAAAAAGTGATAAAGCAGAAGCTATAGTATGAGCTAAAGTGGCAAAAAGAAAAGAAAAAAATCTCTCCAAAACACCCTTCAGGAGCGCAATGAAATGCCTCAGAAATAAGTTGAAAAGATGTGAGATAACAGAGAAGGGTTGTAAGAAAGAAATTAAGGCATGAAAATTAAATTGTGAAATAAATGAGATTACAAAGACTGAGAACCAAGGAACAGAAAGGAATAATGGATGTTTGTTACTTAGTAAAGAAATAGAAAAACAGAAAAATGAAATTCAAGTCCCTTAAGCTGTTGCAAATCTCACATAATTAATAAGTTTAAACACATCCATTCAAGACAATACTGAGGAAAAAATGAAGTTATTTCAAGCACAAACACTTAAGTGGAATTATTGCTCAAGGAGGTTATGTTGCCCTCCTATTGGTGGAGGACTATTGTTGCAAGATTTCAACACAGTTCATGTTAAACACAATTTTTAGGTGGGAATTAGCTCCAGACTAATGGCATGTACCTTACAAAGGCAGATGTGTGAGATGTAGTTTATTTTGAATACTGAACTGTTTATATCGTATATATACATCATGATCATATAACTGAAGCTCTTCATATTTAAAACCTGAGTATGAACTACAATCCTCACATTGTCAATCTAATGCTAATTTTTTTTTATCCATGCTCAACTTGCAATGCAACATTAAGAAAAATTCTTCCGCTGACTGACTTTTTAAATTTTCAAAGAATAGACTGGAAAAAAATTATCTATTTTAAATTAAGACTTGATTTTGATTATTTTCTTTAATGGAAACTAAATATTTACAATTAATGATTTATAAAGCAATACAATAGTTTAAACATTTTTTATGTTGCTAGTAGAGGGTACTTATTTGAAAAGTATATACTCTCACTTCAAAATATTGTCTGAATGGTTTTTGCAAGATATAAATAGTGTGCTTAGTTTTTCCAAGTAAAAATGATTTTATCCTGTTACAAAAGCCTACATTATTCTTGATTACGTATAGTTGTTGTCTTTACAATGACCTTATGCTAATGACCTACATTATCTTAAAGATGATCCTGTAAGAACACAGATTGATTTTTTAATAATAAGTGATTGAGTTAGCCAATCTTTAGACAGTGATATTATTCAGATTGT